GGCCGTCCTTGTAGACTCATGGGGCTTTCCCTTGCATTGGCCCTCTACCTGACCCTACAGGTCCCCTATTCCCAGTCATCTCCCTCAGCACTGCCCCCTGCACCCACCCCACCCAGATCCCTTGAGTTCCACCTCCCCCAGTCCACCCAGGAGCCCTTCTCTATTTCCCCTTCCCAGGGAGCCCCATGCTTCCTGGCTTGGGTCCTCCTTGTTTCCTAGCCTCTCTGGGTCTGTGGACTGTAGTGTGGTTATCCTTTACTCCACAGCTAATATCCACTTATGAGTGAGTACATACCATGTTTATCTTTCTGGGTCTGGGTTACCTCACTCAAGATAACTTATAAAACAAAAATACCATACATTGATTTTATTTATCAGCTAAATCTGTGTTAATGTTTGTATCTGGTGATGAGTCATTTCAGAGCTCATAAAACACACATGAATTGGGGCTGTCAGTCACAGCTACAGATGACTACGGAAAGAGAACTTGAAAATTTAAATCAAATGATGACTAAAAGTTTCAAAATGGCACAGGATTTTGTTTTTTGAGAAAAAACAAAGACTGGAATCCTTTAGACTTTTAAAAATGATAATTTTCAACACTAAATAAAAGTCACATCTGCGGGAGGAGATACTGGTAGCTGTGGTCTACAGAAGAGGCTTTGCTGGGGTAGGCTGCTCATGGGCCTGTATGTAGATGGCCACACACCTATCTGCACAGGGTAACATTAACTGGAAGAGGGGGTCTAATTAACAACAATAACAAAAGAGGAAATGAAGTTGGGGGATGGGCTTCTAGAGAAAACTAAGGTGAGCTGGAGGGAGGTAGTGGAAGATATGATCAATATGTATTATATAAATAAAAATATTTAGTGAAAATATGTTAAGCATCTATAACCCTTCAATGTTAACTTGTGGATAATAAAAACTCTGTTGTGGAATATTCCTTTGCACTGTGTAAAGAGGTGTCACTCTGATTGGTGTAATAAAAAGATGAATGGCCAATAGCTGGACAGGAGGTATAGGCAGGACTTCTGGACAGAGAGAACCCTGGGAAGAAGAAGGTGGAGTAGCAAGCTGGAGATCAAGACATGCAGACGTGTAGATAAATACAGATGGGTGAATTCAAGTTTAAGAGCTACTTAAATAGCTAGTTGGTTCAAAACAAGCGTCAGTAGTGAAATAATCTTTGGACCTATGCTGTATAAAATACTAGCTTTCAAAAGGAATCCTTTTCTGAATAGAGTGATATGAGAAGATGACCACAATTACTTAACATGAGCACGTCTTGGAAAACACTATGCAGAAGACACACTATTACTCAAGACAACAGAGACACACCTACAGAAGAAAGCGGGACAAAACAGAATTCACCTAAGGAGGAACAGTGAACCTAACATAAAGAAGTGGCTGGTATTTGGAATAAGTACTGGTAAAAAGATAATCTGCATTTCCTAGGGCACATACTTTGGTGTTATTTAATTTACAAAATTACCATTGGTGTTAAGAGGATGAGCTTGCCATGCAGGCCTACGGACCAGAGTTCAAATCCCAGCACTCAGATAGAAAGCCAGGAGTGACAGCAACATCTATAATCCCAACACTGAGGATGCGGAGACAGGAAGATTCCTGGAAACTGTTGGCCAGCTAGTCTAGTTCAATTATACAAGCTAGAGTTCAGTGAGAAACCATGTTCCAAAACATAAAAACTAAGCTCAATTAAGGGAAGCAATGATGTCATTTGGTAGTCTTTCTCTTACTGACTTAATTTTAAGTTATTTGTCTCCTGCTAAAAGGTCACACTTCCCTGCTTCTTTGATTTGATTGTTATTATGTATAAAGCATACATAAAGAGACACTAAAGTCCCCACTGCCCCCCCCCACCTCTCCTTACTCCAACTGGAATTGACCCAGGGAGGCAAAGATTTGCAACTTTAGTTGTATTGTATCACTTTTGGTTAATTGTTCCCAAGACAGGACTTCCCTGGTTACTCACAGGCTCTCTCTAGTATAACAATGTTCAGGTTTTCGATTCATTACTGTGATGGGCCTTTAGGTTGTTTTCACTTTAAAAAATTTAAACTACTATGAATGATTTTACTATAAACTTTCGTGTTACATACAGGCATACAGAAGAATTGCTGCACCATATGATAACTATCTCTAGTCTTAAAATAAACTGCCCAGCACTTTTATATTGCCATTTTACATTCCCACCAGAAACATAAGGGTAGTTTTGGGTAGCGCAAACACATGAAAGCATGTGTGTGTGAGTGCGCGCGCGCAGCATATGCGTGCGTATGTATGTATGTATGTATGTATGTATGTATATTTATGCCCAGCTCCTGACGCATACTCTCTCTGGAGTATTGTGAGTCCTTGAAAACTACTGAGGTAAGTGGGGCTATGGCCTCTGAAAGACCAAGACAAAATTATGATGGGAATTTGTATTTAGTCCCTAAAGGAGGAAGGGCCAAAGGCTGCCTTCAGACAAAATTGTAAATAATCTTATTTAGGTGATAATCATTCCATAGAACCCCAGAAGAGGCCGAGCGATGATGGCACACGCCTTTAATCCCAGCACTTGGGAGGCAGAGGCAGGAGGATCTCTGTGAGCTCGAGGCCAGCCTGGTCTACAGAGCGAGTTCCAGGACAGGATCTAAGCAATACAGAGAAACCCTGTTTTGAAAAAACAAACAAACAAACAAAAACAAAAACAAAGAACCCCTGAAGGGTATAGATAAGCTTGTCTGATTTAAATTTAAGCACCAGGAATTGTGACTCTCACACTTTTTAAAGACTGTCTTGGCTACCTAATACAGGAACATTTTCATGAATCAAAATGAATACAACTCCTATTTTTTTTCCTCATTCCGTAACATGAGAAGTAGCAATCCACCTTTACTGTTAATCTTTGTGTTCTGAAAGTTTCTATATTCAGGAGTCACACAATATGAATCTTTTCAGCCTTGCCCACTGAGATTTATGGTTTCAATAAGCATCAAAAACAAACACAGTCCTGGGACACAGTCCTGGGACACAGTCCTGGGACACAGTCCTGGGACACAGGGCCTTTGCTTTATGCCTGCATTTCTATTCTACAGGAGGCCCTCCTACCCTGATCACTTCATTCCTACATGGTTTCTGTTCTGTGATGCGGAGGACACAGCATCTCAATGAGACCCTGAAATGTTTTTGATGAGTTTCTGTGTCACCCTTTAGCTTGGTTACAGGAAAATGACTCAGAACGTGAGCTTTCCACAAAACTGCTCTTCCTAGCAGGCCTGCTGGCTCCAGAATTCGATGGTGTTTGACACCCTGCCACACAGCCCAAGTCTGGTGTGTATGGGACTTCCAAGTTACAATAAATGCTTTGAATTCAATTTCTCCTAGGCCAGGAGAGCAGGAATAGGCAAGAGAAGAGAAAAAGAAAAGAGAAGGGAAGTCCCTGTTGTCGTCAGTGCTGACATTGAAGAGAACTAACAACCAGCTCTACAGGAATCCTCTCACTGAATACAAACCCACCAATAAGGATCCAAATCTGCAAGGGTTTGGAGCTGGCGAGGGAAGAGGCGGGGGGGGGTGATCTATTTCACTAAGGGTATAAGGATCTTTAGACAGATTTTTTTTTCAAAAGTAAAGTAAGACCTCCTCAAAGCACAGAAATAAGAGTGTGGCGGGACTTCTCTCCCCCTAACCCTTCCACTCCTGGCTGACCAGGCTCTATCACTGAGCTTTATTCCCGCGGGCCTGGAAGTTCTAAGGCCACCTCATCATTACACAAGCAACAACCATGTTTTCATAGTTCCCATTTTTAATTTTTAAAATCCCAAAGAAGATGGGTTAGAAAATTCTCAAAGTGTCACTGAGCTCTGATACCCTTGGATTTTTATAGAATCTCAACTAAATAAAAGCTACAACCTACACAGAACAGTAACATAAGGAAGACATCAACGTGTAAATCAAAGCAAACTGGAGAAACTTTATAAATGAAATCTATATCCATTCAAAGATGGTCTTTTTGAAACTACATCATGGTACTGCGGTGCACAGCTGTGGTCTCAGTACTTGGAGGACAGTGGTGCTGAATTAGTAGGATTAAGACTTTGGGAGGTCAACTTTGACTATACAGTGAGATCCTGCTCTCTTCTAGGTGGTAAATGCAATACTTAAGTTGGAACCTTTCCCAAAGCTGTGACTGACTATTGGAGAGCAGGAGGGCATTCAGTTTGAAAGGACTGGATGTGGCACCAGGAGAGTCCAGAGCAGCAGACAGCAGGAACCCCGCTTGTTCATCTGTGTTTCTGGGACTGTTCTCACTTGGCTCTGTTTGCAATTGTATGTCTACGCCTGGCAGTAGTGCCAGCTCAGTGCGAGCGACGTAGTATTTTTACCATGCTCGCTGCATGTGCTCAGCAGTGGAGCCATCCATATACGCTTGGTGTGGTTTGCAAACACTTGGTGACAGAATCCAGAGCCCGGCATTTGCACAGAAAGTGTTTACTGTGAAATTTCTCCTTAGAAGTTTGCTTTTCTTTACAGCTTTGACCCATATGACATCCACAGGCCCACACTTCAAACAATGGCTTACGCTTAAATTAAGAAAACACTTCACTTTGATACAACAAGACCCCAGTAGCATGTGGTCGCTCTAGAAAGGGTCTAATTTTCTCATGTGATTAGAGATTTGGTCAAACATGAAGGCTGCTAAAGTTTTCCAAGCTATGCTTCTTCGGTTTACGGCGACTTGGTACTTACATTCTGCTATTCATCAACACTTCACAGGAATACTTGATTTGTCTGAATGAATTTAAAAACCCACAACTGAGGAAAATCAGAAAAGCCTGGTCTGAAATATCAAAAGATCCTCAGCGAAAAGTATTTCTGGAGGCCAAACCAAGCAAGTTTTATTGATCACTGTATTCTGCAGGACACAATTACTGCAAGGTTGAATGTAAGAAAGTCAACTTACAAAAAAAAAAAAAAGAAAGTCAACTTACTGGTAAATGTCTTTCCTGAGGACAGATCTGCTAAGCGGGTTATCAGCCTGAGGAGCCATGGCAACAGAACCGACCTTCAAAACCATCGTGTCCTCCTTTGCTGCCTGGTTCACTGCAAGAAAAGGAGGAGACATGAGTACATTTAGATGTCTGATGCACAATGCGGAGGATTTGAGGAAATGGGATGGAGTACCTTACAACAAGGCCAGGACATGAGAAAACAAACACCAAAAAACTACACTCAGAATAGAAAATTTAATGCTTTTTAATGTCTGTTTACTTCAAGTCCTAGTTTGTGGTTTTCTGTTTAGCACAGTTAAAATGACAAATACCTCAATATAACAATATGTTGTTATTATTCAGTGTATGTATATAATAGTAAAGCCATATGATGAGTTGATTCTACAATCATATTACTATAGAGTTTTTGAAAGTAATTTTCAGGTCTGAAAATTTAACATCACAAACATACAACGGAATATCAACAAGTCAACAAGAATTCTCAGTCATTTAAATTTAGATGTGGAATGGTAGCTAATATCACAGTTACATACAGCACAGAATTTTCAGTTATGGCATGTCAGAAAGTCTAAGGGAAATGGGATGACTCCAATGTTGAAGAAGGCTAACGATTTAATGTGAGAAAACACCTCAGCTCGTCATCAGAGGCGTCTTGTTGTAGTGACTGCACCTGGGAAAGGGCTGAAGGAACAGCTTTTTTGATGAAGACGAGAAAAGAGTAAAAAACCAGAGTGATGAGCGAGATTAAACAGACACTTCAGCTCTAATTCTTTTCTTTGTATTGAATAAGAAATTACGTAACCTGGAGTTCTTATGAAGCTCAAACTTATTTTTGTTGTAACCCACATCTACTTCAGGTAATTTGGAAGGGATAGGGGCTTTTTAATGACCCTGTTCATTAAATTCCATGCCTTCCAACAATAAATCAACTACAAGAGCTGTTTAGCTATTAGTTGAGCATTATTAACATAATATACGACTTTCTGAACGTTAAGTGAGTGCACTTAAAACCCGTAAGGTTGGTAATATGGCTCAGTGCTAGCATACCTGCCTGCCGTGTGTGAGGCACCACTGAGAACGGTGGTGGTGGGAATAAGAATAGGAAGCATGAGAAACAGGAGAAACCTCCTGCTTCTTCTCAAGGCACCACCAGGATCTGCCACAAACAGAACAGAGAAGGGCCGGGTGCAAGGCCTCAAGACGTCCCACAAAGGCACAATCCGTCTTTCCCAAACTGTGCTGCCCAAAGAATGCGAAAGCTTGGAGATTATTTCCAGCTGCCTTAGCAGCGCACGTGGTAGGGTCTGACTTTGATTAGTCCAGAAGAAGAAAGTTAAGAGCTGAGAAAATGAGAAGGCAGAATAAAGCTAGATGGCAAGGGTAGGAGGATGGGCACGAAGGGGAAACGCTACAGTGGCAGGGAGTGGGGAGTGGGGGGGGGCAAATGGGAGAGAAGGAGACCAACTCTCATAATAAATATCAGCATGTGGACATCTCAGTAAACACGGTGATTTCAAAAACCCATTGCACAAAAGATCAAACAGAAAGCTACGTCTCACACAGCTGTGCTATTTTCAAATGACAGGAGGTCTGGCTTGATTATAGGTCCTCAAACTATGAACAGTGTTTACATTTCACAGGTCTTGCATTGTATGCCAAGCTTAATAGTTCCATGTGGGTAAAGCCTCTGATTAAGCAGAAGGCATCAATTAAATCAATAAATAGTAAGCCTGGAGAATAGACTATACCACAAAAGTACAATTAGTGGACTTGCTAACTGTCCTTCCAGGCTGCGGATATACTCCCCGCCATATGAAATCTCAACTGCAATAGAAACAGTAAATAGGGTGCACATGGAAGGAAAATTACATACTTGTGTTACATACAAACCAGATCCAAGAAGGGAACTCTGTTAGAGCTCAGTGTTCTCTCGGGCATTACACAGTAAAACACATATACAACTGCCTATTGACAAGATTCATACATTAAATTAAAATGCTATTCTTATTATAGAAAGTATTCAGTTTATAATTTCAATCTACCCAAGGAAACATGTCTTGAGTGATTTCTCCAGTTACGTTGTGGCTGGAGAAACACACACCTACCTTTTGGCTTTTATAACCTGCACTGACTAGTTGAACCACATGAGAATGTTCTCTTCTAAAGCATTTCCAACATGAAAATCAACACCTTCCTTCTTCACTTAAGCCACTGTGAGTGAGTCTGACTAGGAACCACTCACCCCAGGAGACAAAAGCTGCATCCAAAACCCCAGATCGCTATGCTGCAATAAACTAACCCGGAAAGTAAAAGACCTGTCAGTGTAGAATCTTGTTAACTGTGCAAGAGGCGGGCAACACTCAGGCTGAATCACACTTTCAAAATCGCCTACCTGAATGAAACACTAGAATGTGGAAGATAATTCTATCGTTATCATACGTTATCAAAAAGCTTCATATAATCAAGCTTTACATTAGCAAGAACTATAATTTAGAAAGATCATCCTTGTGGAGGTAAAACAGCATTGTGTGTACACCTGTACAGGTGTGTGTGTGTGTGTGTGTGTGTGTGTGTGTGTTTGCGTTTTGAGAGAAAAGGCTATAAACAACTCTGAAATCAATATCTTGCTTCAGTATCCTGAATTAGAGATAAAGAGATATTCGTGAAATTATAGCATAAGTTGTTCTCTTTAAAACCAATTTTCTCAAGTCAAATATAAAATAATTGAGTTTGGGAGACTCCTTTAAGTTTCTCATAAGCTCAGTAGAATAAAACACCTGAAGCTGGAAGCACACCACTGTGCGATACCACAGTTTCTTGACACCATAGTCATACGACATAGGCACATGACAAAAGGCGTAAATTAGTAACCAGCATGCCGACAGTAGGCTCCGTATGTGTGAATATGATGCACACACGCATGCTAATGGGAAATGCACCTGGTGATTCATCTCAGGCTCTGTGCCGCACACAGACAACTGTAAGGGCAGGCTGCACAGGGCCACTTGTATGGCAGGGTTTCTGCATTTATGTTATAGACTATGAATCAGACATTCTTGATTTAATCACTCTTTTTGGGATGTCAGTCCAATACACTTCTTTCTAAAGAACAACCTGTTCTTAGTTCTGTTTTACTAGCCAGTCAACTAATGGTATCTATAACAATGATATTGTTGCTTCTACTAAGATTTCTTCAATTATGCTAGATTTTGCTTTCAGCGTGTATCTTTCCAAAGATACTTTCAGTAATATTCCCTGTCTCTGAACGTTCTTCAAAGTGAGCTAAAAGACATTTAAGTACCTGAACTCTGAAGTTACACATGATAATACCACCTCCAAAATAAAGAAGGGCAAAACAAACATAAATAGCTTTAAAATCAAGTAGTAAAATTCTAGATTTAGTATTGCAACTGCTTAAAATGGGATTCTTGTAATTCTAGAAACCTACTAGAGATTTAAAACTATTCAGAAGAAATAAGGCTATTTTTTTAAATTTCCTCTGTTGTCTGTCAGATTACTATTGCTTGATACACACACACAGAGACATCAACGAGGACAGAACTTGTTTCCGTAAGCGTTTGGTAAGAATAATACAAAACACATCAAGAGTTAAAAGATGAACGTCTGCCCTCAGCCTCTACACAGGGTAAAACCTCAGCCCACAGGATCAACTGTGTCAGCTGAAGATGGTTCCCTTTCCTGCTTCTGAGAGTAAATGAGCCTGTGCAGAAATGTTAAAACCAAAAACAACCCCCGCCCCCAGCAATCCAGCTCCCACACAAAAGGGCTCCCACACAAGTTAGTGGCCTCTCAGCAACACAACTGTAGCAGAGAATTACTACATGATGCAGGAATTCTCCATTTGGGATGCATCAAGAACTAAAAACAGCGACTCCTCCAGGTGCTCTCAAGCCAAAAAACGTAAAATGAACCAAGTAATCAAGAGATGAATGGATAAACAAAATGCCATATTTATCTACTCAAAAAAGCTCCTCACTCATAAAGTGGTGACATTCTTCTATGTTACAATTTAGATCAGTAAGTAAAATAAGCCTGTACCAAAAGGCAAATATGACATGAGTCCACTCACTGAAATTTCTAGACCACAAAAACCTGGAGATACATGAAGGTTTCTAGGATCTGGAAAAATTTATTGCCTAATGTGTCTACAGCTTCTGCTTGGGATGACTTAAAAAAAAAAACATTGTGACACTTGCTCAACATAATGAATATAAACAATTGCTAGCAGAAATTTTATGTGCATTTTTTGCCCCCCCAATAAAATTTGTAAAAATCCCAATAAGAAGACAAAATATTTCCAAACCACTGACAAGGCATAGCAACAGCCTTCTTCCTCTACAAAATGAGAACAAAAAGACTGCTTATATTTTTATATAGCATACACTATGACTTGTGGTAGAATAGTATTTGAAGGCATGTGACTTTTGTTTATGCTGCATTTGTTTAACTCTGTGAAGCTGTGTTACTGTTCCTGTCTAAAACACCTGATGGTCTAATAAAGAGTTGAACGGCCAATCCTAAGACTGGACCAAGGATGGGCAGGACTGGCAGTAGGAAAGGATAACTAGAAGGAAAAAAGGAAGAGGGACAGCAAGAAAACAAGGAAGGAGGACATCAGGGGCCAGCCATCCAGCCACACAACACCCATGGAGTAACAGTAAGATAGATGTACAGAAGAAGAGAACAGGAAATGCCCAGAGGCAAAAAGGTTGATGGGTTAATTTAAGAAAAGCTGGCTAGAAACAAGCCAAGCTAAGGCCGCACATTTGTAACTAAGAATAAGCCTCTGTGTGTGATTCATTCGGGGGCTGGGTGGTGGGCCTCCCAAAAGAGAAAAAAAACAAAACATCTTATTACAATGACTGGTACCTCAATACTCAATTTTGCTATGGGTGGAAATATGCATGTATTCCACCAAATGATAATGATAGAGCTAAAATCAAGATGACTGTTTTACGAAGTGGGGCTGCTAGAAAGTAATTCAGTAATAAGCATCCATTCTGCTATTAAAGATATTTGGTCAACGAGTTTGTCCCTTTTGTCCAATTTTTGTCTTTGTGAAGTTCCAACAATGAGGTACCAATCTACAAGCAGAAAATGGCTCTCAACATACAAAGAATCACCAACACCTTCATCTTGGACTTTCAAGCACCCAATGTGAGAGATAAATTCCTATTATTTATTAATTCCCAGTTAATTATAGCCATGGGAACAGACAAACGTAGCATAAGGAAGATCACAACTGAGTGTCTTCCACACCTCAGTAATGTCATGTTGTTAAAACTGGCAGAGGATTTAATTGTGACAGTAGGATTCACGGAGGCATGTAAAATTCTGCTTTAGTAGAAAGGATGTAACTTCTCCACGGGAATAGCTCTGTTAAGTGAGAATTGTCTACAGAGCTGCCGCCATATGCATCGCCTGCTGGTGTCAGGGCTCTGAAGAGCGACCTCAGGTGTCACTGTGCTACTGTTATAATGTGCAACCTGACAGAGTGCTAGCGCCATTTGCCTGAAGAGCTTGGCATGATGTGCTCACGATCAAAGCCTGAGTAGCAAAGCTGGGATTTTAACTCAGTGTGTACAAGTCTGTATGACCTGAAAACTCACAGCATGAACAACTGCGCTATAGTGTCTCTCAAAACTCCTAAGTCCTCGATTTTTTTTTAATGCCATAAAGGAAAGAAAAATGTTGAAATGACTCTTGTGTGTGGAAGCAGGACTATTATTAACTTAATACAGTCAAAGACTGGATTTCCAGAAGCCACTAGGAAGCCTGAAAAGGCCATGCTGGTCTGCTGACAAAGTTTTCTTCCTACCCTGTCAGTGGGTACTTACAACAGAATTTTCATACATTTCATCGTTATGGATATTATTTTGTTTTTGTAAACAAAATCTACATATCTTGGATACTAACTGAATACCAAACTAGAATTACAGACGGAAAGCAAAATGTACAGAGTAAAACTGTCAGTTTTCTCATTCTTCTAAGTAGAGTTAGATACTTAGTGACACCTGTAAAGAATAAAGCTGAGATGTGAAATAAGGCTTATGTCCATATATTAATAAAACTTCTGTCCATGTGTCAGAGAAAGGTATTTAATCCAACCCACCCAGCCACCCACCTCCACACTCCACACACATGAAATAAAATGAAACCAGGAAACTATACCTTCGACAGTTGACTGTGTTTCTTTGGTTTGGGGAACAAAAATTCTGATCACACTTGTATTGATATAAATCAAAGGTAAGTTGCGGGATGTCAGCGTGTGGGTCCGCATGGGCTGGCCGGTAGACTTCCTCTTCTCTTTTTGGGTCCTGGGTAGTTTAGTTTGGAATATGCTTGCAATGGCATTGAGTAAAGGGAAACAAAGCACGACGTCAAACGCTTGTGCAGAAAGGAGGATCTCGTGGAGAAAGTGAGGCGAGCCATCCACGAAGCCCTCCGACAACTTGTGAACGCTCCTTCTCTCGTTTCGCGAGGTTAGCTTGTGGCGGACGTTTTTTGTCACGGCTTTTGTGTATGTCAGAGAGAGAAAACCATGCTGTTGATGAGAACCATCAAGTAGTTTCGTAGTTGTCTGTTCCACAAAAGGCAAGCACAACATAGATGTCATCTTTTCAGAGAGACAGTACTCGTGTCCATCCTATACTTAACGAACATGGGAGCGCTCAGTTCTACAGAGAGGTTAAAAGCTTCCAAGGATATACTAGACTGACAGACCCGAGAACTATCCCCGAGAAAACAAAATTCTGTTTTATTCATCACTTAACATAAAATTAGAATTCCTAATCCAGACAAGACGATTGTTTTTAGATACTAGGGCCGAGGGGGTGACATTAATAACAGATCTCAACTAGAGAATGAGAAAAAGAGAGGTGCACATTACAGAACAGGGCAGTGGGGACGCACTGCGCCATGGTGTCTGCAGGTCTGTGACGCCACCATCCCTAGGGCCCCTGGCGGTCTATTTGCTTTCAGGTCGATGCCCATAACCAGCCAAGGGGCGTGAGGAGTAACTATGCAGCTCAGACACTGTTGCTGCATTTTTACTTTTCCTACCGTCTGTTTGCTTCGGTTTGTGGTGCACGTGTGCCTGTGTGCTGCTAGGGATTGATCCACAGGTCTCACGCACGCTCTGTAAGGACTCTACTTCAGTGCTCAATTGGCAGCTGCTAGCTTTTCTTTTAAAGTGGACTTTAAAATGAAGAAAGGTGAAAAAAAGTTTGTGTGCAGTTCTTTAAATTAATTTACTTGACCAATGGAAAAAACAGAAAGCAATCTGTGCTAAATATTGTTTTCCCTTAGTGGTCTTCCTTCATTCCATTTCAACCATTCCAAACTTTCCCTTTGCATCTACTCTCTGACTCTTACTTTCTCTTTCCATGCTTAATAGAAACAGAATCCCAGGAAAGCAAGAGAGAGTAAGTTTTGATTCTTATGCTGCTGGCCAGTAGGCAGTCATAGGAGAAAGGGTCTGTCGTCACTCCTCCTGGAAGGGACCACAGCAATGCTCCAGGTGACTAAACTGTACTTTGAGGAGAAGGTTACACTAATCTACACAATCCTGTCCACAACAAGCTTCCGTTTAAACCCTGGGAAAAAAGTATAATAGGCATTTAAATATATCAGTGCTTTAAAAAAATCTTTGAAATGTAGAATATATATATATATATATATATTCTTGAAAGATAGGCTACATAGGGGAACAGCTTTCATTTTTTAAAACTGTTGTACCTGCATTAAATAAGGAGAATAAATACACAGCCAAAACTGAGGTAATATATTTCTTCTCATATGGCAAAAAAAAAAAATCAACATCTTCTACCAATTAAAATAAATTCTTAGAGACAAAAGACTATTGAATTGTCATAGAAGTATCTCTGGAGAGGATTATATCCAAGGGATTATTCATGCAGCTTGCAGTCCCTTACAGATCTCCAACCCTACTAATTTTTTTTTAATATAGAAAGAAAAACATCAAAAATTTTCAAGGAATTCACAATAAACTTTGGGCTCTCAGGAGGCGTGTAATGGTTAAGAATGATCGCTGGGGCTCCGTGGGCTCTCAGGAGGCGTGTAATGATTAAGAATGATCGCTGGGGCTCCATGGGTTCTCAGGAGGCGTGTAATGATTAAGAATGATCGCTGGGGCTCCGTGACAGCATCACCTATGCCCCTCATAGACATTACTGGGCATGCACGTAGAGGAAAGGAAAACTAAGGAGGGCTTCTACCAGCACAGACCCACATTTCAGACTCTATTTCTAGCACAAAAGAAATGATTAGAGAAAGTTAAAGGTCAAATGAAAAGATGCATTTGCTTTAATGCTAATGTAAGCTTTACATGTAAGGAGAAACTCACGAAATATTTATAAAGGTAGTATTTATGCCTTTAGAATTTTATGAAAAATATAAAGTATTTTGCACACGCTCATGTTTGTAATGACTTGGTACACTAGGTGCTAGCTTTACTTTAAAATTTCATTAACTTTAAGGATGTCACTTAAAACAAGTATGTCTAGTAACATAATTTCTTATGTTGACCATGGAAGAATATACACTTGATACTTCTGAAAGGTATTAGAGTGCAGCCTACATTCGTTTTGTACCCAGAAAACAACAGAAGTACAAACTTGTCTCAGCTCAGGACAGCGATAAATAAAGTACTTCCAGTTATCTGTGAGAAGGATACAGCTGTATAACAGAAAACAAACGAGACAAGACAGAGCCGTCTGGGCAGGAAGTAAACAAGGAATGGCAAATGCAGTACTGGCCAACTCTTGATCATTCAACGCAAGTTCAACTGGGAAGCCGTTTTACCTACTAACTCGTTTTGATTTCCTTCAAGAGGTGGCAACACTAATTCTCCTATACAGACCCAGAACAGCAGTAGTATGTACAGCGGACTCCCCAAGTACGGTACAGGGGTGTTCTGTGACATGAGAACACATTGCAGTTCACTGAGACATGAATCTGATTGGCAGGGATGAACATCAAGAGTTGACCTCATGGACAGTTCAGTTCCGCCTTTGCCACTTGTTGGGGGGATTCTGAGGTGAGGGGTAGCTTTAAAATGATGTCTTACAGAAGGGAAGAAGGCAGAACAGTTACGGAAAGGGTCCTGCTTGCTGACGGGTCGGACCAGCAAGGTGCGTCTGTTCAGCTTGTCAGTACAGGAAAGGAAGACACCTCCACATTGCCCCAAAGACCAACACTCTTCCCCATGGCTTGAGGTGATGGACAGGAGCAAAGAAGGTGAGAAGACAAAAAATAAAAAAATAAAAGCAATAAGCCAAAAAAAAAAAAAAAGCAGGAAAGATTTTTTAATTCTGCTCAAGTTTGCACAGGTTCAAGTCTGAGCCATTTCTGAACATGGGCTCTGTCGGTACTTTCTTCTGCAAAATCATTGCAAATGGAAGTAAATTAAAAAAATAATAAAATGATCGATTTTCAGATACAATTGGTACTTCACATTTCCAGTAATGGCAATCCAGGAGTTACTTACTTACAAATGGAACGACCTTCCAAAAAGTCAACATGGCATTCATAAATGATAAAATAATATAAAACATGATACAGCCACACCTTTCCATTTTGATGAGTTTACTCAATTGCTACAAAGGAATATGGTCACAAAACATGAGCAGATTAAAAGAATAAGCAACTTTAACTTTTAACATAATTTAGAGGAAGAAGTCTAAAAGAATTGACTCGTAGTTCTAATTCTTAAAAGTATTAGTCCTATTGGAAAGTAGAACAAATGCAAACAATTTAAAATATATTCTCAAAAATTAAAATTACTGAATGAGTCTCACCACAGGTTTTTCTTTGCACTGCAGAAATACTCCTTCAAAATGTCCTGACTGCCAACCTTCCCCTGGCCTGGAAGACACAAGTTCACCTTATCTGTTCTCTGACCAACATAACCATATCAACGGTTCTAAAGTAAGCCATGTTCCACTGCACTAAAACACAGGCGTAACAGCGCACCCAGCAGAACCGTCAGTGCGACACTCCAATGGCTCAGCATGGGAGCATATCTCCTCAGGAGAGACTACTCTGTGTTTCTTTTTCATCAATGTTCGTCTCTCCCGTAAGATGAGAAGATAAAGGTGTAAAACCTTTTGTCTATTCTTGTTAAGCCCTTTATCCCCAGTGCTTAGCATAAAGCCCAGAATATAAAATATATTAATAAGCATATCATTATAATGAATAATTTTTCTAAAATTTAAAATTCATATACAACACTAAAACTAAGAATAAACTATATTACAAAATACTCATATCAGAAATTACTTCATTTCTTGCATTGATATATTACATGAAAAATCACATCATTTTAAATGCACTACACTGGAGAGAAATTAAAGAAAATCACATGGCAATTAACAATTCATTGATAATATGGCAAAAATAACTACCACCTGATGATTAAGAGACTATTATGACAAGTTCTACTACATAGCAACTGAAATATTTTATATTTCATAATGACAATTTTCAGCTATCATGGATGTGTATTTTGTTGGTATAAGCAATATGACATGTGAAGACTAGACAAATACAAAAGGAAAACTAGAAATATGTTTGCAGAATTATTTTAGGGTATGCAATGGATCAATACATGTATACAAAACATTGGGCATCCAGCTACACGAGAAAACTCTTGAGCTGATGAATGCTAAGAATTCATAAGAAAATAGATTTTAAGACTATAAGAGAAATTACTGTGAAGTTGAAAATATAATACTATTTAAGATATTTTAATAGCATCTTTATAGTATGTGTGTTATAGTTAAAAAATAAAACTGGAATTAAAAAGTCAAATGAGAAAAAGGGATTTGCATTTTTATTTAGGGGACATTAATGTCAAGATCATTTTCAAACACTGGAAAACCTCTCTCTTCACTTTTTATGCATTAATTATTACAAACAACTCATATTGTCATGCAATCTTACTTTTGATAAACAAGGTCTACATAGGGAATAATGTGACTTTAGGTTTATGTCAGTTATATGATCAGGGGGAAGTCCCCTAAGAGTTGAAGGGCTCTACCTCAGTGTAGACTATGGAGCAAGCGCCATCCAAACATGTGTTCTGGCATCTTAGCAAATCTGTGACACGTGGCATACGCTCCCAAGGTGATTTGTGAAAGCAGCTTTGTGTCTATGTGTGAAGAGCTGTCTGCCATGCTATCAAGTTTTATTGGATATGAATAAAAGAACGCTAAGAAAACGACTTCATCTGCTGAGCATTCTCTTGGAGGGTAATCACGGTTGTAAAACAGACACGCCCTCGTGGCGACTGAGCTTCCGGTGTTTACTGCTCATTGCTCACCTGCTCTGGTAGTGGTCAACATTGAAGCTCTCTACCTTACACTTCACTTTGGTGTACACGTCCTGCACGTCGATGGACGCACTGAGGTCTTCCAGCTCACTGACCATACAAACCTCTGCAAAAGAAAGAAACCAAAATACAAACAAAACCAGTGTCACTGCCAGACTGCCAGGACAGCCCTCACGGTCAACACCCAGATAAACTGCTTTATAGCTCACATTTACCGACGCATCCGTGGAGGGCGTTAAGGTTATACAGACTTGTAGACTCATAAGCAACATTAGTGTCAAAAGACCTTCATATATCTATCTCAAGTTAGCAGAAACCATAGATGTCATTTGAATGGGTGAACCTCTTACTAGCCAAGGTCTCTGAATACTGACAATTCAAGGCAGTTATGGTTGAGGGTAAGACTCTCGCACCTTCTGGGGCCAATTCTAATTACCAACAAGAAAAATTAGATTTCACAAAGTCAAAGACTATGGACACATAAGCTTTATGCAGTGATGAGAGTCAGTGTTAGCCAACGCTCTGAAAAACACTACGGTAAGAGCTGCTTAAATTACAAATGGACATGAAGGGAAATCAGGAACATTTCTCCTAGAGGTAATGACAGTTCATCTGTACGGTGAGGGAGCACAGCACCCCTGTACCTGTGCCTTGGTTCCCCACATCTGCAGCAAAGAGCTTCACGGTGAGTTTGGGGAGCACCCACTGCATCCACAGACTGACGCGACCACTGCACCCCCCAATGTTGCTGGTGGTCTGCTCCAGGGTAACAGAGTCCGAGAACGGTGAGTCGTCGCCCGCTTGAACAGAGTCCCCCTGCGGCGAGGAGAAGCAAGAAACCAGAAAACGTTGATACCCAACCAAAGAAAGGGAAGATGAAACACAGATTAGGTTAGATTTCATAGAAAGTTTCAAATGACTGAAATCCAGAGGTATAGCATGAGCTTATTCAATTTAACTATATAACAAACTCTGGGTGTATCAGAGATTCTAAATTCTGTGGTAGCAAACATTCTGGGAAAGGCTTGGGGGCTTGTTTGTTTGTTTGGGGTGCTTGTTGTTGTTTTCACGAGCATTTAGCAGCCTAGAATAAAGCAAATCCCTTCATCTGCCTTTAAAGTGGAGTCGTGCAGCCTCACCCTCAGATGCGGGGAAAGACGCTCTGGAGACGTGGCCTCCACTGCACCTCACCCTCAGATGCGGGGAAAGATGCTCTGGAGACGCGGCCTCCACTGTCATGTGTGGGTAGAAACAGATCGCTATACAGTGTCTGTTTGTTAGAAGATGCATTTGGACACACATATCTATCTGTATCTACTCAATTAGGTTGAGTTCAGAATGCAATATTGTATATTAGGATAAGGACTTTATACACTAGTCATGTGATTTTATAACAACTCCACTTTCCAGAGTCCATTACCTCCATTGTAAATTAGGTTTTATGATGATATTTATTGCTGACAATCTAGAATAAATAAGAACATGATCACAAAGGAAGTGTTTCTACATAGTAAAGATTTCATAAGTGGAGGTTAAATATTAACACCAAGCTACACAATATTAAAAACCACACTTGCATATTCTGGTAGGATTTCATACCCATTCCCTCTTGCCTTTCTGATTTTGTCATCTCTCTAATTTGATAGACATTTTCATGTGCATACATAATCCATAATCCCTACTAGTTCCCTATTGATTTGCTTGTCTCAAACAATATGTTTATTTCCTTAGTTGTGTAATCATGGAAATGCAAAATGCTCTTAGAACCCTTGAGAAGGCACGCAGTGGCGGTCAGTGTGTTGTTTCTGAGAAGGCATGCAGTGGCGATCAGTGTGTTGTTTCTGAGGAGGCATGGAGTGGCAGTCAGTGCTGTTTCTGAGGAGGCATGCAGTGGCGGTCAGTGCTGCTTCTGAGGAGGCATGCAGTGGCGGTCAGTGCTGTTTCTGAGGAGGCATGCAGTGGCGGTCACTGCTGTTTCTGAGGAGGCATGCAGTGGTGGTCAGTGCTGTTTAGAGAAGGCAAGCAGTGGCGGTCAGTGCGGTTTCTGGGAAGGCATGCAGTGGCGGTCAGTGTGTTGCTTCTGAGGAGGCATGCAGTGGTGGTCAGTGCTGTTTAGAGAAGGCAAGTAGTGGCGGTCACTGCTGTTTCTGAGGAGGCATGGAGTGGCGGTCAGTGCTGTTTCTGAGGAGGCATGGAGTGGCGGTCAGTGCTGTTTAGAGAAGGCAAGCAGTGGCGGTCACTGCTGTTTCTGAGGAGGCATGCAGTGGCGGTCAGTGCTGTTTCTAAGGAGGCATGCAGTGGCGGTCAGTGCGGTTTCTGAGGAGGCATGCAGTGGCGGTCAGTGCGGTTTCTGAGGAGGCATGCAGTGGCGGTCAGTGCTGTTTTCGGTGTGTGGCTCCTGCTGGAGTTGGTTAGAATGGAAGTCACTACCTATGTATCAACCATACCCAGAAGCGAGGGTGATTTGTGAAGCCCAGAAGAAAAAGCAGACGCCATGCTCTTCGCTGCACACAAGGCATTCTGACCTGAGCAGGTGCTTAGGAGGTTGCTACAGAAGCTTTTCCCTTGACCTCTGCTTTGGCTAAAAAGACCCTTCAGTCAAAGGAGCCAAGATCAAATGGGAGAGACCACCACAGAGTGACAACCATGTGCTTATGGCAGAAGTCACACAAGGGAGGTGTGACCAAGCCCAGTAAACAGCTAGTGTCTCGGGAAGTGCTGAGACAGGAAATTATTAGTCAGCTCCTGTCCCAAACATAACCAAAAGCAGTTTGTAGGTTTTCATATTTCTACAAAATAAGTTGACCCCAAGCCCTACCATAGTTGAAACTTCTAGAACTTAAGAAACTATAGAAATTTTATTTTTGGTTAGCTGGCTGACATTACATCTAAAAAGCACCAACTATTTCCAAAACAAAGTCAAATGGATAAAAGATGACATTGTGGCTATTACACATTTCTTAACAGATAGTTTCTAAAAACAGAAACATTCCTAATCAAATCTTCCAACATACCCCACAGGGGGAGAGCAGCCGAGAAAACATCAGATTAATGTGTATCCCTTCTGAGCACCCTGCTAGGAATGCTGAGACCTGTGGCTTCCAGCTCAGTAAGAACACTTGAGAAAGAATTTTATACTACTCCACTTTGCAGCTTCAATTGTCTCTTTGGATATACAACATTTGCTGTGATATTGTTACACGTGTGTCTGCATTAATTTCCTTCTCTATTTTGCAAATCTATAGTGAAAACTGCACCCAAAATGGCAATGTTGAACTATTTTCCCATACCTCCTTGTGCATAGAAGAATAAAAAGTTCATGGCAAATTAACTGAAATACCAAGTTTATTTTTCTAGGTAAATTTATCTTGGTTCATCTGGAAGAACAAACACTTCAGCCCTTTATGGCAGGCCCACTTCAGAGCTCAGGGAAGATCACAGTTGGCCACACTGCCGTTCCTTCTTATCAAAATAACCCCGGCATTCCTGCCCAGTCACATAGCCTCCCAAAGGGCTGAGCCCTTCCACGGCTGTTTGTTCCTCAGTCAGCACTAACGAGAGGCCTGCTGGGTCCCCTGAACCCTTGCTCTCACTGTCCTAGTAAACCTGCTTCTGAGCATGGAACTTAACTCTCACAGCACTTCCCAGTGCACCTCGACACCACCGCAGAGGCAGGACGCGCAGGCTGACCTGTGGTGCCCCCACGGCTGGGTCAGCATGCGGACATCACTCATCCAAGGTTAAATCGTCTGGGATCATACAAAAGCTTATACTTAATATGAACAATTGTTAGAATGTACTCACTGACACCAGATTAACTTCTACTAAATCCTATATTCAGGGCATTTAAAAACAATACTTTTGACCTACACAAGCAAGTAAGACAGCAACACACTTGAAACTGTAAATTTAAAGAAAGATCAGTGACTTCCTTGAATACATAGTTGAATTAGATACCAATAAACTCAAAACTGAAATTTCAAAATGGATTCCAGAGATATAACAGACTTTTAAAAAATGCAGTCTCAGATTACTATGCCATATTGGAAAGACCATCTGAATTTTTTGAATCGGTGGATAATAAGTGAAACACTAATGATTTTGTGATGTGATTATTTAGAGCAGGGAACGCATTAAACAGAAAACATTTTGGTAACTGACAAAGGCTAAGCGAGAACCTGCACTTATCTGACCCATTTCCACACACTGCTTAGTCCCTGTTCTCTGCAGGATCAGAAGATAAATTAAATGCCAGGGTTTGCATATTTTGAATAAAAGTTTCTCCCTGAATTTGAAGACAAAGCATCTAATTACTAAGGTAAGTCTAATTTTAGGAAAACACTCAATTACTCGTTTTACAACTGCAGTGTAGTAAAAGGAAGCTCACACTAAATTATCATCAAAAGGTCTACCTGAACAGATTCCGTGACCCTATCTTAAAAATTTGATGATGGTTTTGCTCCAACAGTGGACTATGTTTTTAATTGACTCATGTTCATCAAGCAAATGTGAACAATCAGAAACTATCTTCAAAGCAATAAACCAATTTAATTCTGCAGTTAAAAACAATTCTGGTTAAATTTTGCGTGAGCCTGGCTCCTAATCATGGGTAGGTTAAGTCATCCAGGTCCGATTCAAGGAGAACTGGTGTTTTAGGCATTCACCTGGCATTTTAGATTTTTCTCTTCCTATATGGATTGCCACGTTTTTGCAACAGTGTTGCTCCACGTAGCTGAAGTTGACTGGAAATTGCCCAGCAGTCCAGACTGTACTGAAACTGTTTTATCCTTCTACCTCCGCCTGCAGAGTAGAAGGATCACAGTGTGAACAGGTGTGGTGTTAGAAATATCTGTTGCTTTACCATAACCTGGCTCACCTTTTAATTGGCACGTCCATGCTGGGCATCCCAGCAAAGGGTTACATTTCCCAGCTCGGGTTCTAATACATGTATACCTATATTTGTGGTCTGCCTGCAATACTTAACTTTCCTATAAGACAAATGACTATACCTTATATACTTGTGTTATTTGGTTTAAGTAAGTGCGCAATATAAGAAATGAACAAGACAGAAAAATAAAGAAAAAAGCAGTATCTACATCGGTGTAAGGGAAAAATGTTATTACCCCTGAGAGTTTTCAATGAGCATCTGACACACATGTGGGACAAATGGCTTGGTTTCACATAGCTCACTCTTTCAAGAAGCAACATGTTTTACAATTAACAGCGCAAGGTTCTGAAACTGTTGTTTTAGCCATTGGATACTTCCACTGTAAGAAAATTTCATGAACCCCCACTGGTAAGAAACAATAAACATGAAAGTTTGTATTCCCCCAAGGAAACAATCTTCTATGCACAAGAGATATGAGAAAGTGAAAAAAAGGAAAAAAAAAGAAAGGAGGAAAGACAGACAGACAGACAGACAGAGGAAATGACCAGATTCAGCTAGATGCAGTGGTTGTGTACATTAATCCCAGCATTTTGGAGGCAGAGGCAAGCAGATGTCTGAGTTAAAGGCCGGCCTGGACTGGTCTACATAGTAAATTCTAAGCCAGCTGGTGCAACATAAATGATATCTGTTTAAAAACAAAAAAAAAAAACAAAGAACAAAAAAACCAAATTTGATGAAAATATAAAATAATTATATTTAAAATAATCAAAGATATAAAATTTTAAATTACAAACTCATATGTACTGAGCTTAAACTATATTGAAACTATGTTCTTATGATAAAGATGGTGGACAAGGGATTATGGTAAAAAGTCTGTATGTCACATCCAACAAGAATCTGAAATAATCATTACTTAACAAAGTTACAT